CAGCCTCCCAAGTGCTGGGATTACAGGCATGCGCCACCACACCTGGCTTCTATTTTGTTTTTATTTTAAGGTCAAGATAAAATGTGTCCATCTTTTCTTTAAGGGTACAATATGATTATGACAAAGTATTTTTTTGCCACATATGTTTTTATGCCCTTCACTCCACACTTGTATTCCTTTTTGTGTCTTCCCAGTTTTAATGCTCCTCAAAAATACACACAAATTATGTTCCTAAATCACCAACGAGGTCACACTTTCATATATGAAGGGAATTAAAATTAAATGTCAAGGGATGATTATTCTCTAGAAATACACATTAGTGGTTTGAAGTCTCTTAAAGTAAGTCACTCTATAAAATACAAGCTATAGAGCAAAAGAGACAAAAACTCAGCTATGTTCTGTGTGAACCTTCAAAAACATTTTTTCAACTTTTAATACTTTCAGAAATGACTAAATAGAAGATATTCTGCCAAATGGAGCATCAAACTCCTTCTAATGAAATAAAATGTCAGAAGAGCTTTACAAAATTTCAAAAGTTATAAGTACAGAAGCCATGCCATTCTAAAGGTCATGTTTTGGCAAAAGGAGTCATAGATATGTAACTACCCAAAATGTCTAAACAAACTGGCCCTACCTAGTAAAATATAGTCTGCCATAATAGATACAGTTGCTGTGAGCTGTGTAATAATCTCCTGTAAATGAAAATGGACATGAAATTTGATGATGTATTAATAAGAGTCCGTTCAGAAGGGGAATAAAGGCTGCTTAGTAATTTGAAGTAAGAGAGAAATGAGGTGTGATCAAAAACTATAGTGAATGCTTACATTTAAGAAATTACAATTTTATTATCAGTTTGTATATAGATAATTAGAATTCTGAGATATTGCCCTACAGGAAAGAAAGATAACCCTAAACACGCAGTATGCAGGACTAGCTGACAAAGGGAGCAGCACTACGCCTGGAACTGAGGCAGTGACTCCAACAGAGAGGATGCCCCAAGTGAGGACTGTGATGGAGACTTCCTGGAAGAGCGTGATGTGGCTCCCGGCATGGCAGAGCCGCTCCCTGAGTGGTCCCCTTGCTAAGATTCTCTAAAACTCTACCCTTTGAAATGCTGAGTCAGGCTGTCCATGGGGAGAGGCCACAGCTTGCCATTAGCGACAGGCTACCGATGGCATTGACTTCGGAGGATTCCTGTGAGTCAAGCTGCCTGGCTGATGTCACTCCCTATGGAATCATTTGAGAGGAATATGGAGGAAAAATTACTCATGCGTGGTGGGGGGCTGTGAGGACCATTTGCTGCTGGAAGGAACCACAGATTCTCAAAGAGGTCTGTGTACTGTGCACAGCAGGCCAGGAGAGAAGGCTTTCCTTCTCTAGTGTTCCTCCAGCACCTCCGGAAGACAAAGTGCAAGATTAGACCGGAAGACAAGGAGAGAAATATTTAGAGTCCGCCTCATTTTGCGAGATGCCAAGAATAGGTGGATTTGGAGCTGAGAGACAATCAATTTATAATTGCCAAAAAAGTTATCCGCAAAACATTTTTGATATAAAGTTGAATTCCTAAAATTGAGTGATAATTAGCTGTATTTTTCAGTCTTCTAATTAACCATAGTTAATTTCAAAAGACTTATTCACATTAAGTGAACAAAAAAAATGCATCAAATCGATATGTTCTAGGAAACTAAAGCAATAATAAATCAAAAATCCAAATGTAAATTGTGTAGATTTGTAAAAACTATTGTAGTCTCACTAAATGTGGAAATTGAATTAAGTCACCTAGAACTTCAAAGGAACTATATATTTCAAAGATTTGTAGATCAGTTTTTTGTCAAATCTAATAACAATGTTAAAATTTCAAAGCTAAAAGGTTGATCAGATCAAAAATCTATCTTGTTGAGCTGGAAATGTTCCTCTGTATTCACTTATGGTTTAAAGTCTACTAAAACCAAAACTTTATATAACACCAGTCTTGATCTTAAAATATGGGATGATAGGTGTGTCTACTTTCTAAAATACTTGAAACTTTATGTAACACTAAGTCATAATTGTTATGGTTACTGACAACTATTATAACATTGGTTATTACCTACAAACTACATTTGTGTTGGGAAGATGAAAGTCATTTCAAATGCTACTGTGAGTACTAGGCGTAAATGGGGAAGCTGGTATGACACAAAATCTTCCTAGATGAAATTCCTTTTGTCTCATTTGTGAATTCCTAATGTAATGTCCCAAATTGTTTGGTCATTGACTTGTCCTGAATCAAAGGTTTGGGGATTGCCTTTGGCATGGTACTCCGGTACTCACTATGTTGTTGTTCACTGGGGAGAAAGGCTATGTGATCACTGCTCAGCAAAAGCCTGTTCTAGAATGTTATCCAGTGTCTAACCATGTCACATCTGATCGAAAACTAGGTTAGTGAGGAAGATGTTTAGGTTAAGGCTCAGTTTAGATCAGAGTTTATCAAGCCATGCACTTCGCAATCACCTGATGTGCTTCATAAAATGCTAACCCTTGAAACTTTTCTATGATGAGTTTAACCAGACTCTGAGCTCCAGAACTTAGAGTCTATATTTTGAACAGGCCTTGAGCTGATTTACGTTCATACTGATGTCTGAGAGCCAAGAATCAATGTGGTGCTCAATTTTTTTCCAAAGCGGAATTGGCTAGGCTCATAGCAGTGCTGGCTAGTGAAGCCTGAATATGTCTTGCTGCTCTCACTTCAGCTCGGACTTCTGCACTTATCAGGGGCACCGGGTAATAGAGGCCAATCTTGGCTAGCTAAAGCAAAAGAAGAATTATTGGAAGAACTATCTTAAGGGATGGGAGTTGAAGAGGGTGGAAGCAAGGTATCACGGAGCATATGTATATCTGGCATTACCTCATGGTCAGCACTGGCTTGAATTAGCCTCAGCCTCCACCTTTCGTTGTATCTTGATTTAGGCTCATCCCTTATCTGTTTTTTTTTTTTTTCTGGTACTGGGAATTGAACTCAGGACCTTGTGCTTGCCAGGCAGGCACAGAGCCACTGAGCTACATCCCTGGCTCCTCCTCATCCCTTACCTAAAGGAAAGAGAATCCTCCAGATGCAAACAATGGAGAAAAAAATATTCCAGTAGGCTGTGATTAGAAAGTAGGCAGAATGGATGTCTAATATATACAATTTGATTTGTTATCACATGGTAAATCTTTAAAAGATTCGTCAAGAGTTTAGAGAGTATTTGTTTAGTAGCCTTCAAAGATAGGCCTTAGGATAGCAAAACAACTTTCATATCACATTCTCTTAATTTGTAGCCTGAATATGCCAATATTTGCTTTTGGTACATTCCACCAAGCCTCAGAGAGACGGAAGAAGGACCGGAGTTCTGGGAAAAACTTAATTTGGTAAGTAATGAGTAAATTGTATTTTTCTTTTTGATAGATAAACTCAATACCCCTTCTCTATTGACCCCATAGATAATTCTGCACTTGTGAGGGTGTCTTGAAGATCTAGAGAGGTGGCTCCTACCGTATTAGAAAATAGTGATATGCCAAATAGTTGTAAACATTATTTATATCCAATAAAATCACACACTTGCTGCATACACACAAATTCAAGGCAGTTGTACTAATTGCAAGATAATTATATAATTTATTAGAAGTTCTGATTCCCAGTACACTGCAGAAAATGTGATCTGGTAACAGGACACAGAATACATTTGTGAGATACTTTCAGCTATCTGGAGCGTCTCTCTGAACTCACTTGGAAATAATGTTAAACACTTAAATCTGATACCCTTTCTACGTGTGCAGCATTCTGTTTCCTTCACTAACAAAGGCCTGCTTCTTAAACAGAGGAAAAGGCAAAAGATGCCCCTAATGGCTTTCAACTGATCACTAAAAATGTGTTAGTCAACACTGCCTTTCCCTTATACCTGCTGTATGAACATGTATATTGAAAGTGAACTTAGGAAATCCCCCTTTGGGGTTATGTGCCCAGAACCTGTAGTATGAACATTTAGGATGGGTTGCTGCTATTACATTTAAGCAATTCCTTAGCACTCCTCAAATAAGCATCGTGGACTCCATGCCCTTGCCCTTTGACAAAAAAGTAAAGAAAGCATCAAGCATTTCCTGAGTTCTTAACTCTGTTATTCCCTAGACATACAAACATTGAACAACTTGGCTTTACCCTTTAGAAGTTTATGCTTAGGGAGACAATGAATAAAGAGATGATCACCTGGTAAGTGGGGATAAACCCTGTTTTCAGTAAAAGTGGAGAGAAAGAACCTCTATCTCAGTGTATGTGACTTGCCAGAGCTGGGTCTTCAGTAATAAATACAAGCCAGGCAAGGAACGATTGTGAAGACTTAGATTCTGACAGAAACCACAGCATGGTGACCTGAAGGCTCAACAGGAGAAGATGTGAATCGAAGACCACAGGGGTATGAGATGTGGGATGAGAGCTGTAAGCTGAGGGAGGGCCTTGGGGACTCAATCTTCCTAGGCAAAGAGCTGGAATTTTTGCCACAACCTAATTAGGAGGAAGAAAACATTGTGTTGCCCTTAAGCTGTGGCTACCTATAGCTTCACCTGTCAGCATGTGCTTTTCAATTTTCTGTATCTTAAATGACCAATATATAAATATTGTACCTCTTATCAAACCTGAGAGCAATAGCAAAAATGGGGAAAGAAGAGGGTGTTTTAATCTGTGCCTTGGTCTACAAGCCCTTCATTACCAATTTCAGGCAGTTATCATAATCCTTGGGACTTGTCTTGGATTTTTTCCCTCACAATTCAAGTAGGAAAGTGCTTAATTTCAGAAGGTAAGGGAGTTATTAGAAAAAGCAGGAGCTAGCCAGTGTAAGATTGTAATGATGAGGTTTCCAGGTACATTCTCCACTTTGTTGGAGTGAGGGTAACATTTCTTTTTATTTTTCAGCTTTAATTGAGTTTATTGGTACATTTTAGGGATACAGTACAGTTACATTCATTGTTGGGATCTTGTACCTCCACATGACAGGTCTTGGTTCTCATTTTTTCCCCTTGTCCCTGCCCTCCCTTCACTCCCTCCTCCCCTCCCCATCTAAAAACACTTTATTTCCATCTTTTCATTATCTCACATTTTTTCTTTTCCCTTATTACCCTTCCCCTACCCATCCCACCTTCCCTACACCTTTAGCTCCTTTCTTCCCTTTTCAAAATGTCAGTAATCTTATTAGAATCTTATGTATTATTGCAGATTATTCACACCAGAGAAACTCAGCCATAAAGAATGAGAAAATAGATTCATTCATAGGAAAATGGATACATATTGAAGATATACTCCTAAGTGAGATAAGTCACACATGTGTAAATACTGAATAGTTTCTCTGGTGTGAGGGTAACATTTCTTAGCAGGGTAGGAAAAGAAACTCCTTCAGGTTGAAGAAGGTGTGGTTTCTGTTTTTCTCACTAAGCTAGAAATCACTTTTTAATTGTTAAGAAAAGCAACAAAGAATGATTTTTGTGTTTTATTGACTCAGGCCTGTTTCACAGACAGGGATCAGGCTAACTGGTTAGTTTCATATTTAGAGATATTTTTGGCTCTTTTTTCATTTCCCATTCATAGAAAATTTAAAATTGAGAATGGATATATAAACTAAATGTCATATACTTTTTACCTTAAGTGGAAATTAAACATGGATTGAGGCATTACTTTTATCCCCAACTTTGGCTCATATTTATTCTCCTGTGCTTACTGTCCATGGACTGTCCATCCTTTCATTTTGGAAATACTTTTGTCATATTTGGAACTGGTCTAATATTACACAATTTTAATTGTTATGACTGCTTCTGCTAAGTATAAATATATGCTGCATGCAAATTATTGCTGGTCCTCAAGCTCTTAGTTTCCTCTTATTTTCTCCTTCTCTCTCTGTGTGTACATGAGTTTGACAAGTGAGAAGGCAAATATATCTATTGTTAATCTATATGGTTTCGTGCTTACTGTAGTATGAGACTACAAGTGTGTGATTTATAACTTGGAATGCACTTAACACAAACTTGAAATTTATCTTGGGATTTATCTTGTGTGGAGGATCACAAACAAATAAATAAACCGAAGAAGCTTTCACCCTCTGATTCAGGCTAGTGTCAGGTTGAGCTGTCAGATTTCAAGAATCAGTGGTGTGATAAGTCTTCTCTTTGGCAGCAGAAGGGGAGAGGGATTGTTTGGTAAAGAATCTGGAGTGGCAGAGGGTGTAAGTGCGTGTGTGTGTGTGTGTGTGTGTGCGCACGTGCTTGCAAGTATGTGTTTGTGACTGTTTTTGAGAACACTGTCATTGTGCAGCCCAATAACACTGTGACAGTTACTCTGTGATAGTATATTTCATCATCAAGTTCGGCAACTTCTCTTTTTAAAATGCCCTCCATAAATGCTCTTCTCTCTGACTCTTTCAGGCATTTCAGCAGCATCCCAGGTCTTCCTTACTTCCCTGTCTACATTGTATTTGTCCCTTTTCTGTCTTTGTGCCTCCTGCCTTACCCTCTATCTTATTTTCTTTACTCCTTGCACTTCCTACCTCTGGCTCTGCTTCATCATCACTCTCCTGCTGAAAGATTCTGAATTGCTTCCTATTCTTTGCAGCAGCAGCTTTCAGCCTGTCAAGACCAGTGACCACTATTTATATAATAAGTACTCTTAATGTTACTTTTAACTCTACTGAAATGATATCAATGGAAAATATGACCCTCCTATGCACATAATTTTCTAAAGCTAAATTCCTTATATGTAACATGAAAAAGAAATTAGTTTATAATAAAATATGTTTCATTATATCTATACTTAGCCTTGACAGTATCAGAAGAAATCCATGCAGAAATGATAAGAATTCTCTTAGTAACACAGTGAATATAAGACATGCACAAATACAGCCTCTCATAAAAGATCATGTTGATGCAAGCAACAAGAATGGTGGTAGTATTAATGATATGATTTTCAAAATTGGAGCATAACTCTTGATAAAGTTCCGAAGAAAACATTTTTCCCTTGCTTGACGTATTAGTAGAAAATTTTATTAGAATAGATACACGGTATTTGGCATTTCATGTAAAACAGAGTTAAATGTGGGCTTGAATGATTAGAATCAAGGTTTTCCCTTCATGTGTTTCCCATGAAACTTTCCATGAAAGTTGGGAAGGCCAGGGGACAGTTCCTGGCTCGGGACTGTTCTACCCATTACAGGGCAGCTGGCATCTCTGGTCCCCACTCACTGTGTATCAGTAGCATTGGCAAACAAAATGAAACTAAAAACATCCACCCAGGTTTCTAAGATACTCTAGGAGGATAGTACCATCCCCTGAGAACCACTGGCCTGCAGGATAAAATGTAGTATCCTGTGCTTGGTGTCCAATGCCCTCCATGGCTGTTCCTAAGGTGCTCTTCTCATTCGATCTATTGTGACTTCGAGTATTGAGAACATAGCATTATGTATGTTGCCAGAGGATTTTCACCAGTTTGTTTACAAGAACTAAATTATGGATATATTTTGCTAATCAAGTTGGCAAATAACTGTAATTTTTTATATTGCCGAGAGCATCCACAGACTCTGCTAAACTACTTATGGGCACACAAATTTGTACCATTTTTCTGAGCAGCAACTTTATAGTACCCATCAGATACTTTAATTTTTGCATATATTTTCTTTCCACAATTCCACTTTTAAAAATGTATCCTTTAGAATAGTTTTAAAATCATAAGGGGTAGAAAGCCAAACAGAGCATAGGTATTATTTAAAGTAAAAAAATTTTAGAAGTAACTGTTCAACTATATAGGATGGTTAAATTTTAATATATAATTTATATGCAAATTATAGTGTTCAGGCAATTAAAATTCCATTCAAAAATAATATATTCATGATACAAATTTTAAAAGCAGATTATGTCAATCATTATAGTTAATCCTAATTTTGAAAAATTATGTTTATATATACATACATACCTTAATACATATAAAATAATGTATAATAAATACTTAGATTAAGACTAGATAGCAGCACCAAAATACCTCTATACAAAAATTATAGATGATGTTTCTTTCCTTTTACATTTCTTAATTTTCTATAATTAATTACATTGCTTTTGTAAAAATAGCAATAAAATAAGAATAATAAACCAGTGTAGTTATTGACCCAGTGAAGCCACAAGCTTCCTTGAGTGCTTATCTAGATAAAGGCTTGCTAGCTTTTGACAGTGAATACCTAACAGTTAAAAGACATGAACATTCACCTTAATATTTGTTTACTATTTTAAAACTATAATTATCACTTTGTAAATATAGCATGTATGTTTTAAACACAAAGTATGTCAAAAGTAAAGAGGTTTTTTTGTTTTGTTTTGTTTTTTGGTTTTCTTTTGAGACAAGG